TTTTTTTTTTTTAATTTAATGATCCTCGACTGAAAGGGATATAGGTTAGGTTGGTGTCGCAACGGAAATATGGAACAGTTAATCGGCATGTCAGGAAACAGAGATAAACGAGACGCGTGGTAGTTAATCGGTCGTGTAACACAATTTGTGACGCAATAGATTTTACAAGACTCTTCCGGAAAACAAGGACGTTATATTGTACATATATCCTGGATATAATTGTATTGTCCTCGCGATTATCGTTGCTTTTGTCGTGAGTTATTCGATAATTTATCGATTTGAAAAAATAAATTCGTTGAAACAACTAATAGTTGATAGAAACTTAATGCGTCTGAAGCGGTGTCAGTCCCTGCGGACCGACACCCCATGTTTGTTCGACCGGTGTCGGTCCCTACGGACCGACACTTATAATATTCATTCAGCCGGTATCGGACACTTGATTTTTATTAATATAAAAAATACACGTTAAAAAACTGTAATTTACAACCATAAAAAATACACGATCCCTTCAATCTTCGCGCGTATTTTCGAGAAGTACGATCAATGCGAGATCATTGACAAGATATGTCAATTAATGCTGCTCAATATTACTCGAATGCACTTACGTATAACCAAAGAGTTTGAGCAATAACGCACGAGTTGTTAGAACGATCATACGTCAAATAATCATCGAAAATCTTCAAATTTCAATACGAGACGTTCAAATTATATAAAGGGATATCGAATAATTATATAAAGATGTCGAATCGATCGACAGTGGGTGGTGGGTGGTTCCTAGTGAATTTCTATACGAATTAAATTCGCAAAGAAGTCGACTTAACTATGAAGTTTAGCAATTTATTTGTATCCTTCAACATAACAAGAGGCTACGTGAGATTTGAATTAAAATGACAATATTGCCTAATATGTACTTGTCCGTAAACGAGAAAGCTCAAACACGGCGGCGTGTGGGATGCATCTCGCGGATATTGCAGCTACCGTCCGTGTTCATACGTGTGCACATCCGTGCATGAGAACGGTCGTATACCTGCAGTTTGTTGTGCATTGTCGCGTTGCACCTGCATGCTGCTGTGCCTTATCCGTTCGATGCGCCCGTTCTTATTTAAAGCCAGGCGAAACGAACTTCAACGCCGATGCATTGGCGAGAGGACGCGAAGAGCCAAGGGGATGCGTATAATAGCCAGCTTCTATTTTCGAAGAGAGGAAACAATGTACCCTTCGCTCGTAGGCGATTATGCATTTACGTGGGCGTTCGATGCAACGAGCACGCTTAACTGGTTCGACTGGCTTGAATTGTCTTGCAAGTTTCGAGGCATACCGATACATCGTATGTATAATAATCTTGGCTAGCCTGGCCGGTGCTCCTCACAGATATTCCTCACAGGTGTGTATGTGTATAGTTAAAATACGCTTACTAATGGATTTCCTTGCGCAATCTCGTTTATGAATGTGTTAAGTATGAATTAGCGGGAGGAGGAGAGGGACGATGAGATCTGATATTTTCGTAAAGATATATAGTACTTATATGAATTCTATGGAAAACCTTGCCACGCCTTACTTTCTGGTTTTATCTTTCATTCTCACCCCCGATACATTCACGAGCCGAGATCACAGAACGAAATAATTCTCCTCCGCGTGTGATACATGCTCGCACTCGAATTTAAGCGATCGGCGAGTATTTGATCATACGAATCTCAATACTATAAGAATAAAAAATAAAATACTTTAAAGTATTGTGAGAGCAGAAAAATATCCGATACTAAGGAAGTTGAATTTAAAAAATTGCAAATACGCCAGGCAACAGCAATGCTGTACACACACACACCTGCGCGCGATATTACTGTTTGTTTAAAAATCCCTGTTTGCCGAGGACTAAGCAAGAGCCAATGCACCTGCTCCTCCTCCTATTTTCTCCGTCTTTGTCCCTACCGTGAGAAGAACCATCCAAATAGAGCAAGCAAATAGGAGGTTGGGAAGCAACGTCCTAAGAGCAAACAGGCAGCATGAAAAATATTTCTCCCCTGACACACGTACTACCACGCGCATGAATCCGTAGTGCGTAATAACGTTCGAAATAGCGCCACTGTCTTCATGGCCGTTCTAGACTTAAACAGCGATATAAACGTACACGATTCTCTGTATTCTATACGAAACCAATTTTCCAGTGAAAATTGGAAGGAATTCGATCCATTATTTTTTAAACTATTGTGTCGCAAGGGAGAAGCATACAATCGACAGAGACATAATGATGTTAAAATCCTTTTTATACATGCTCACACGTTTCCTCTTGTAAGGACGAGTCTCATATCGATGCAAACAATTAATAAGAGTATATAAGTGATAAAATGTAATCTCTCACCCTGGTGTTGTTCCATTGATTGAAGTAATTCGTGTGAATTACTCATACTTGTACGAATCTTCGCGAGTCCCATACAGACGAATGACAGAATGGTATAATTTCGTAACATTCATTCAAAATCAGGTCAGATCAGTGAATGTATGTTATTCGCTCAATTTTAGAT